CTGTGGGCGCGGGCCCGGCGCGACGGCCGTGGAGACCAGGCCCGGTCCGCAAGGGGTGGTGGACCTGTCTGATGGAAGGGCCTTTGCAGCCAGAGAACGTCATTAAGCTTTTCTTTATCCTTTTCCTTTTTCCTTTTCTGTTGTGGCTTCATGTAAGCATTGCAGGGACCAAGAATGGATGGGCGGTAAGAGCTGCTGAAGTGCTGACCTTATGCATATTGAGACAGGCACATAGATTAGCAATGCGGTGGCACGTCTTCCTTTCTTTGAAACCAACACCTTATAAAGAGGCTTTGAAAACTCCTTATTGCTTATTTCAGATCATTCCTTTTACCAGGGTTCATCTCCACCCTAACTGTTTCTCGACTCACATCAGATGAAGTGATTCAGATGCGTAATGAGCTCTTCACCAAAGAGAAAGAGAGGCAGTTGTCACTTTATCCACGAATTGAGAAAATTGAAGTAAAGTACACTGGGAAATCGCACCCTGGCAGTGTGTTTGTAATGAACAAAGCTTTGTCTACTCCGTACAATTGTGCCATGCGTAAGTGAATGGACTCTTGAACTAACATTGTGCCACTGATGATGAAAATTGTGCTGCCAGTTGAAGTACTTGTCATTTCAATTTGAAGTGTTAATATCATTGACATTTTAATGACCAAGATTAGAGACATGCATTCAGAATATTTGCATTTGTTAATTTTAAAATACGTTTGTACTAAGATACATCAGCAGAAACTGAGTCAATTTTTGGAGGCTCTGTTAACAGCTCATCTTTCCAAGTCATTTACAAAAGTGAAACTTGTAGGTTTTTTTACAAATGCAGAGGTCTAAACTGATGAATGTGAGGAATATGGTTAATAACTGTGTAATACTTTTTAAACTTTCTTTAGACTTAAGTGAATGGCACTGCAAGAAATCTGTTCTAGCTCTTGTGGATGGTGAAGTCTGGGATATGTATAGACCCTTGACCAAATCATGCGAAATTCAATTCCTTACTTTCAAAGATGAAGATCCAGAGGAAGTAAACAAGGTGAGTCTGTATCTTACCCCATTGTAGGTGACCCTGATTATGACCACTTCATTCTGTATGCCCCTTTCAGTTCCATGGCCGTCTGCTTTTTTGAACTTTGTTGTGAAAGTTCAGATATTTTTAATAGTTGGTTGGCGCGTCATGGTTGTCATTAGCTGGACCAGAGTGTGGGCTAGGTGATGTGTGGGCATCCCTTCCAACCTATATTGTTGTATTACTCTATGAATTCAGATTTAAATATCTCCAGGGAAGCATCTGGCTTGCATTTTAAGTGCAGTTTTGGTTTTTTTTTGATTGACTCTATATGGAGAATCATCTCCAAATAGAAGTTTACATACTAGAGAAAATAATGCTTGGGTTCACAGCTAGGTTTGTGCGTCATTCAGTAAAATGTTGATATTCTTTTGCAATAAATAGCTGATGTTCATCTGGTGTTGGTTGTTAGCTTAATAAATCTGTGTTCTGAAATTCTCTTTATAGGCCTATTGGCGTTCATGTGCCATGATGATGGCATGTGTGTTAAAGCGGGCATTCAAAGATGAGTACTCAGTGACTCTGATTAAAGCTCCAGAAGTGCCAGGTGATATAAGTGTTTTATATTGATTGTCTTGTCTTTTGTTGCTTCTTAAGTGAGTGTCTAACAGCATTACCAAAAAAACCAGAGGCTCCTTTTCCGGTGATTGAAGGTACTTAGGATTGATATGTGTATTACATGCTGCTGTTGTAGCCTTTAATTTATAGTAATCACACTGAAAACAGTTTCCTTACCAAAGTACAGAAAATTGATCTGTGTGGCAACTGGCTGTCAGACCATTTAGGGTTTCATGGGTTAAGTTAGTAACTTAAGGACATAACCTTTTTATTGTGAAGTTACATGAGTAAGGTATTTAGAATATGTGATGTGCTCTAATCTAATAAGTACATAGCCTTGTGAGCACTTGAGTTGCTAAAAATTATGATGTATACATCAAGTTGGAAGATTATCGAAGTACAAACAGGGTTAGTAACAGCTTTTGCTCATCTGTGACCTGATGTAAAATTTACAAAAGTGGGAAAATGCACAGGAGAGGTTATTTAAATAACAAAGCCTGTATGATGGTGCATTTGATATATAGGAGGTTAGTTGCTGGTCACGTGGAGTCCTCCTGCAGTTGATTCCCTTTTTAGCTATTTCAGGATTGTCTTGATTGGTAAGTATAGAGTGGATGTTTCAGTTCTACCAGGATTTGGAATAATCTTGCATATACTAAGCTGTATCGTTATACTGTATATATAGAAATAATGTGAGCTTACTGGGTTCATAAGCTTGATTTCTGAGATGGCAATAACTAAATAAATATACACAAAGAGTGTGCTAACGTCTATCATAGAAATTTAGGTTGTCTTTGCCAGAAATTTGTGCCATGCTTGTGCCATGGATGAACATTTTCCGTCAGCTCAAATATTGTCTGATTTCTCTATGCAATAAATTGCTATTTACGATTTAATACTGCAAATTTACTTTTAGTGTATGATGCATACAGAGGAAAAAATATGAAATGTTTTCCAAGTTTTTGGTTTTTTTTCTTTCAATGCTAGATACAGTTTTGGGAAGCAGCATAATTCATAATTTTTTTCTCTCTTTAATGGGAATGTATTATACTGACATTACCTTAAAACTCATTTCAAATGACTTTCTCATTCAGTGAAATGAAAATGATATAGGTTTAATTGGCCATTTGATTGTATAATCACAGATGAAAATTCATATTTTATGGTGGATTTCTTGAGATAATTCTGTTTTTCTTCTCATTCATTTTGATACAAGAATATATTATGACAATGAAATACATACTTTGTTACAAACATGAACATTTTTCTCTTTGGAATTGGAATTGCAGTGATCTCTGGAGCTTTCTGTTATGATGTAATTTTGGACAATAGACTGGATGACTGGAAACCCACGAACGTAAGCACAATAACTTCTTGCCTGAAAAGTTACATAGCTTGCATCCTTGTCCAATGGTTCTTTTTTAATGGGGAGGGAGAGAGCAGTAAGTTTTTACCTTTTTGTTGGGTGTATCTACACTAGTAATTTTTTACGTCAGGAGTACTCTTTGGAAACTAATCTCCGCATTTACCATATACTGGCTCTCACTGCAGAGGGCTCTCAGAGCACATAGACTGGCTTCCATTCGGATGGATTAAATCTTGAGCTGTCCTCCAGATGCTTACAGGTTTTAGGTTTGTGGGGCTAAAGTAAGTTCAAGTCTGAAATACAGTTCCGCAAACAGTTGATGTGGCCGTGGGGACCTCAGTGCCATCTTTGTTACTGTACAGATCTGCTCCTACTTGGCTGCTGTTGCCTGCTAACGTAGATGTAACCATATAGTCTTTGTGCGAGTAATGCCCTCTGAAAATAAAAACCTCTGTAATACGCGTATTTTCACCTGGTGGTTTACAGCATAATCAGTTTATTGTTGTAAAAGAACCGTGAGCACGTTCACCTGAAGCTCTCCTTAATAGCTTGCTTATATTTCATGCTCTTCAGTAAATCTAATAATCTAAAATGTAAGTCTCATAACCATTTCATAGCTGGTGTGATCATGAATGTTTTACTCGTCTGGTGCCTATCCTTGTTCTCAGAGGTATGTATGGCTGTGTACTTCTCAGAGGTATCAGCGGAGATATGTATGGCTAACAAAGCAATATTAGTACAATGCAGACTTTTTCTCCGACATGATCTTGTAGTTGAAGTGACCTAGTTTGAAATATTTTCTATGTGACATTATAAATGTAATTTCTCCTAATAACAGTTTCTTATTTATCAATAAATCTGAGTATGTAGAGCTTTGGATTCTGGACCAAGGTGATCAATTTCTATTTATTAATTATTCAGTATTTTTTTTCCCCTGATTCCATCACAATAGAGGTCATTTATAAATGGAGTCACAACTCTGGGAAACAAGATACACAGATGAGTATTTAACAGTAGCAAGTCTGTATGTGTATATATCACGTTGGGAAAATCTAAGCAGTTTAACTGCAATTAATATATATTGTTTCTGATGGAAAAATGCCTATTGATTTGACTGGCCATTGAATCAGTCCATTTAAACAGTGATGATCTGTAGCAGTCTGTTGCTGATAAATAGTAAGAGTTACAGTCCTATGGCAATGTTCTTATATTTAGGGTTTGTAGTAGATGATCCTTGTTGCTTTTTTGACTATTTAGCGTTTCCTGTGCTTTGTCTGTTCACTACAGCTGTGAAACAGTGATGAAAGTTTTATATGTATCAACTGTTTTTTAGGACAACTTCTCCTCTCTTACAAGGGATGCCGGAAAGCTAATTCATAAAGACCTGCCATTTGAAACACTGCATGTTGAAGCAAAAGTAGCACGTGAAATGTTTCAGCATAACAGGTAAGTTATGCTGAAAGTATCTTCCAGTAAGGCAATTAGAAATTCATTTAAATATCTGCTTGGCTTTGTAAATCTAAAATAAGATGGGACATGTGAAATAAGAAGGTACTTCTCCCACTACTCTGAATGAACATGCCTCTGTTCTCTTTGTCACACTACCTTATTTAATTTTTAATGTTCTCTCCAGAGGCCAATACCAGGCACCTTTACTGGATGTAGTTTTGTGACAAATGGAAAGACTGTAGACTTACTAGTTTTAATAGCGAGCTTCAAGATTTCACTACTTTTAAATTGAAGCTCTGGTGGCTAGACTTGGTGTGCTAGTTACTCTCAGACTTTCCTGAAAGGCTTTTGTATTAAAAAAAAAAATGCAGATTTTTCATGTCTTGATATCTTAAAATGAAGATTTGATGAAATGCAGTTTTTGAGCTCTGCAGGGGGAAAATGGGTAAAATATTCTGGCCTGTGCTGTGAAAGAGAGCTTGTTCGAAACACTCCAGTCTTTGCTGAAAAAACAGCGGTGTCTTGGGAAGAAAAATTCTCTGGTCCACAGCTTTTTGGCGGTTGGAGAGAGATGGGGGAAATGATAACTAACCATTTTGTGAAGCAAAACGAAATTATGCTAAAGCTAAAGTTGCAAAAATAACTAGTTTTTAGCTTAATAATGAAGATGATATTAATGTGACATACGGACTAGCATCTTTTCGCAATGTTGGCTGGCAAGCATTGACAACAGGTGGGAGCTGACTTTTGATAATAGCTTTAGACATTGTGTGTGTAGAAAGAGCAGAGAACACTTTGCTGTCTTGCAGGTGACCAGCTGTGACATTGCATAAGATCAGTTTAGGTGATCTGATAGTGTCTTCTAGTCTTACATGTGAGCTGAAAAGCTCTTTATTTTTATTTGAAGTACTAGGTTCATTTTATCTTTCTGAATAAAACTCGGCTGAGGGAGCATGGCCTTCCTATAACATATACATCGAATAGAATAGAATAGAATAG